AGGCATGAAGAGCCTTCCCCACAAATGGGGATGCTCTCCTAACAGGCATCCATAAATACACAAATCTGCCATTCCCAGAAGCAATTGCACACAGAAACGCTCTTGCTCATTCTATTTAGCCAGCACCAGGCTTTTCTACAGAAAGTGCAATTGCTGGTGAGAGCTCAAACTCATAATGACACCGAACAGGTGTAAACTGGAAGAAGAACTCTGTGGGGAGAAAAGCCACACCAGCTCCCACCCTGGCAATCAGCAAAGCCTTCTCCTCCAGGTTTGTGTTTGCAAGGGGAGAGAAATGCAAGCTCTTGTCAGAAAGGAAACCAAACACTTTCTGCATTTTTCACCGACTGTGAATTTCCTCTCGGCTTCTCAAAGTCCTGTTCTTCTCCCAAAGCTCTCGGGAGCACAGGCTTTCACAGCAACCACTGCTCAGGGGGAGATGAAACCAAGATGCAGATTCCTTGTTATCCAGGTGGGACTCTTTGTCCCATATACACGGAAAACGTGACTTACTAGGTAAAATCTAACCCCCACAAACTAGCTCAGACCCCCAGAAGATGACTACTCAGATAAAATGTTTATTATAGAAGGGCTGGTAAACCCCCCTTGCTCTTATTTGTTACTGCTCTGTTGAGAACAAACCACATGATGTCATTGATGAACAAAATTGCGAAATCCCACATTCCAGACCGGGGACCAGGAATGATTCCCAAATTAGGCAAATGACATGTGAAATATCAGTAAAGCATCTACAAGGAAAAAAGTTAAACACACACAAGAAAAAAAAACAAACTAAAAAACCCCTGAAGCCACATGAAACAAATTACTTTCTCTAAAACCATCACATTAATGACTCTTCACTTCAGATACATTTAGTCAAAAAGTCCTCAGTATCTTGAGAATATGGAGCTAGGATTGCAATGTTAATTTAAAATTTGAGAACAATAGTTACATACTATGTATATAGCAACAATCTGCAAATATTTCCTTTGGACACTGCTGTTTGACAGAGATTTTGGATGTCTTGCTCCCCGCTTTAATGGCATCTTTAGGGGTGAGACTGTAAAAAAAGCTTCCAAGATTCCTCCACTCCAAAAGCCTATTTACTTGTTTGAATGTTAATATGAAGAGAAAGTATAGTGTTATTCTGAAAGCTGAGTCTTTGAATGGCTGGAGGTTATTGTAGGGTTGAAAACCTGGAAGATCCTACTCCATGATCACTGCTGAGATGAGGGCCCTTTTCCCCTCCATTATGGTTTTGGGATTCCTTTCCAGTATGGCATTTCTTCAAGTTGGCTTCATATTTCCCCTTCTGGGGTAAAATTTCCCTCTTCTGGCTCTGAAGGAAGTTCAGACAGCAAGGACAGCTGAGCCAGTTTATGTTGTCTAACGTTAGCTGAGATGATGGACGTTCTCAGGAGATACACTACCTCCCGGGGCTTTATGCCTCATTCTCAAGCAAGTTCAGTCATTTTTCACTGGTTCAGCCATTTTATCATATGAAGGGGAAGAGACTACACTAAGTACCTTGTATAGTTCAGAAAAAAAAAAAAAAAAGGATCAGAGCTGGGATATTATTTTCTTAAGAATCAGTCACTTGAGATTTCTATTGAACAGATGGGAACAAAGCCCAATCTGGCCTAATTAAAGAACAAAATCAAATGATATTGTAATCGAGCAGTTCCTCAGCATCCCGCACAATGTGGTGGAATATAATGTCCCATTGCACTGCAGAATGGAGACACCATGGAACAAATCTAGGTCCTCCAGGCCACAAGTTTAAAGGCAGCCACAGAAGGAGGCAACCCTTTGCCAAAAGGAGCAGCAGAATCGCTGGGTGCTACACATCCACCCACCCCACGTTGTCCCTATGAAGGGGACATTCTCTACAGTTCACTTGGTGAGCCACAGGACTAACGTGGCAGAGTGCCAGCCAGTGGCTCCACTCCATCTCCTCACAGGTCACAGACACCTCCAGGCACAGGCTCAACTCCTCAGAGCAGCACAGAGTCTGATGGAAGTCTCCTCTAAGCCAAGAGGAAGATTGCACTTTCTTTCAGAGAGCTTCAGAGGTGGCTCCAAGCTCTGCTGAAGTACAATCACAGCACCAGCTTCCTGAAACACTCTGTGGTTGGTTACGTTGGCATTTCTCCAACACACCAGCTTCCTGAAACACTCTGTGGTTGGTCACATTGGCATTTCTCCAACGTCTACACAGAATCACAGAATGATATGGGGTTGGAAGGGACCTCTGGAGATCATCTAGTCCAACCCCCCTGCCAAAGCAGGTCCACCTAGAGCAGGCTGCACAGGAACGTGTCCAGGCGGGTTTTGAGTGTCTCCAGAGATGGAGACATCCGTTGGTCTCCATCTTCTAGTGATGCAGGGTTCACACAGGAGATACACAGAGGTACGGATGATGGGACCCCCCCACTCCACTGGTTTAATTTCTAAACAAAGTCACGCCTCTACTCCCGCATGTGTCTAGACATTGCTGATCAGAACCTAACCGAATGCACGTAATGCAATAAAAAGCATCCAAATCGTTAGACACCGTCACAGAGAGGCTGGTTAAACCTAATTATGTTCAGACCCAGGCAGAAGGCAGCATAAATAAGATCCTTAGAAGGCAGGGGACAGAGCAAGGGTACAAATGGAATTAACTGTACTTCACACATGGATCACACCTTCCTTTTCTTCCTTCTGCTGTGCAGCTTCTCACCTGAGCACCAAAAATCCCAATGGCATGAGCTTACTTCTTAGGGGGATCAGAAACAAGCCAGAAGAATCCTGAGCTTTATCATTTCTAGGCTGTTTGGAATATGTTTGACACTGCACATGCTGGTACAATTGCACCTTGTCAAACAGAAGAACTCTGTAGTGACAATAAATATTAATTCCCTCTGCTGGCTTTCAGCCTAAATCTTAGTAGACTGAAATATCTGCCACGGGAACATCAAAAAAAGCCAAAGTAGTAATAAAAGTCAAACAAAAAAGTGCCAGATCCAGCATCTACCACTGGCCAGTTTACGCGAGTCAAGTAACAGATGTTTTGGGCTGTGCCTTTCAGAGGAAATTACACTGATACGCTCACACAATACAGCAAACCCTGCTGCAAATTTGCAGAATGTTTATTTCAGGAGTAAGTCTGGCTCTATTAAAAAATGGATGTGAAACAGAACGACTTGGCTTGCAAAGCCTACAGTGTCCCTTTGCCAATCCAGCACCACAGCAGCAACACCGAGATCAGATCAAAGACGATCGTGGGAAAATTACAGGTCCAGCAATGCCCATTTTTCATGCTCAAGAAGGGTTTTGTGCTGCCCACCCATCCGGCATCACCCCACGGCAAAGCTGTCAGCACTCAGCTCTGAGGAAGGAGTCTTTGCCCTTCATCTCGTCTTGCCCAGGGAATACCAAAGGAACCGATGTAGGGATCGGTGTGGGACATCACCTAGTGTTTGACCATCACTCTTGTCTAACGGCTGAGCACTGAAGGCAGAATCATAGAATCATCTAGATTGGAAGGGACCTTCAAGATCATCGAATCCAACCATCAACCTAACTCTGACAAAAAAACCGTCACTAAACCATGTCCCCCAGCACCATGTCAACCCGTTTTTTGAACATCTCCAGGGATGGTGCCTCAATCACTTCCCTGGGCAGCCCATTCCAATGCTTGATAACCCTTTCAGTGTAAAAATTTTTCCTAATATCCAACCTGAACCTCCCCTGGTGCAACTTGAGGCCGTTTCCTCTATTCCTGTCACCTGTGACTTGGGAGAAGAGACTGAGCCCTGCCTCTCTTTAACCAGGTATGTGCCCAGTACCCAGCACCATGGAGCTCTGATTTCAATACACAGGCAATGGCCAACAACAGTTGATGTGGATTTGGACTGTGACCAGCTGGAGGTGGTTCTTGTGTTGGAGGCCCCTTATACTTCTTCCTTCCCTCAATGGAAAAGCTCTGCAGTGCATGGGGAAGGACAGGGTGCGACCCAATGAAATCTGATAGAGGCTGAGCCGCAGCTGGCAAACATCTCAGAGCAGGCAGGGCCTGCAATGGGGATCAGTGTTTACAAATAATAAATCATGTGAGCAGCACTCACACTGATGTTTGGGAAAGCGTCTGCATCACCAATTTGACCTCCTGCCCAGCTGGATATATTTTTTTTTTTCTTTTCCCTGAACAGAAATAAACTGGGGCCCCACGTTGGAAACTGGGCCACTACACAGAAGTAAGCACTGAAATAAAGCTGGAACAATGAGCAATTCAGACCGTCTAGGGGGCCTTCTGCACATCGTCCACGTCAAAATTTCCCCATCCCAAAGAACTTCCCTCAGAAAAACACAGGATGCTTTTATTCCCGAGGGGGTGGCATTGGATACAGCATCCCAATTGGCTGGGGAAGCCACACGTTGTTTCACCACCACCTTTCCAATGGGACACGGCCAGAAGGAACACATCTCCATCCCTGCCACCTTTTTTCACAGTTTAGTCACACGTTCGGGTAGATTATTCCCCGATACGCCAACCCTGAAGCACTGGGTTTCACGGAAAGGCAGTGGGCTCACTCTTCTTTCCCTAATTCACTTCATGTTGGTGGCAACACATCCTCTCCCCGGACACAGTTATTTTCCAGGGTGAAGCTCATGTGAACCCAGAACATGGAGAGCAAAACCAAGTTGTGCCGTGGCACTATCCTGGTGTGGGATCCCCCGTTTGTTCTCCCTGTCCGGCCCGGCGATGGCTCTGCTCCGCCACTGCTCCCGGGCCGGTGTGCAGAACTATGGCCACGATTTCCACAAATCTTAGGATTTTTAAAATTTTGAAGATGGGAAATCAACCCACAAGCGCAGCCCAGGCAGCCAGTGGAAAGGCAAAACAAAAAATTGGCAAATTCGATCTGGAAATCCACGATTTGAGCAGCCGTGCCGTGGTGGCCCCACAGCACCGGGAGGCCCGCGCTGCGTGTGGCGCCCGTTTGACCACGGTGTAGGGGGGCAGATGCCGCCCGTTGCCATTAAGAGCACTCGTTTACCGGCGGGGAAACGCCGTTGGCCCCCGGCGGGGCCCTGAGGAGCCCGGGGTGACCGGCGGGGAGGCGGAGGAGGCGCTGAAGGCCGCGGTACCGGCCGCCCCCCCACCCAGCGGCG